CACCCATTTAACCCATCTAAAGCCATGCATCAAGCCGACATGTTCCATCTTTTTAGCCATTAAGATCCGGAGCGAATTGACCGAAAAAAAAAATCCCCGACACATTAGCCCTCCACTGCCACATATCTGTTGTTGTGGACAAAACAATATTTGCGACAAACCTTTCCAAGCTTTTCAACTCCCCAACCTCCATTCCTCGTCTCAAATTTCTCTGCCACAACCCCTTAAAAACTGTCTCCGGATCACTAAAAAAACCTCTATGAAACCTTGTAGTTTTTGTCTACCTCAAGCTTGTATAACTTTAGGAAAAAATCTCTCAAAATAACATCACCACATCATCTATCTTTCCAAAAGTGAGTATGTTTTCTATCCCCCAAATTTCCTTAAAATAAGTCATCAAGAGATAGTCTCATTCTCTAAGATCTTCATTAATTCGGTAAATAGAGAGCCAAGTAGCCAAGATTCTACATTTAGCAAAAGGCTTCCTATCTATATATTTCGTATTGTGTAAGCCTTAATACATGAAGTGCAAATGTTATTATGTTTTTTAATGATATCATTTTACCCTTGGACTAAACTAATAAAAACCATAAACTATATGGACCGAATATGTACAAATGCTATGTTTATATATCTTTCATCCTAAAAATTACACTTTTTCCTCCACTGCTGGAGTCACCACCTTCATCTAGATGAACTCTACAATAAACCATCTAGATGAACTCTTGTATTTTCGTGATGAAGGTGATGGCGCCAAAAGAGAGGGGCGGTGGGGAGAACGTGTCGTTCTCTAGGGTGATAGAGATATAAAAATAGCATTTGCAATTACATGTTCGTTCCATGTAGTTTATAGTTTTTATTAGTTTAGTCCAAAGGTAAAAGGTATAGTTAAAAAAACAAACAAATGAATTGTTAGATTTAGCAGCCATCGACCAATGTTACAAGAAAATAAAACCCCAGTGCTATACTTTTGAAACTTGGATCAAAAATACAAATTTCACTAAACTGCAGGTACCAGTTCTGCAATTTACTCTATATTTAAGAAAACTAGAAAAGTGCAATGTATAGGCCTAGGTTATTCTATTCAAACTAAGTATTGTGTTATTGTATGCATAACTGTGGGTCAATCATTTTACTTAATTTTGGAAAGTGAATAATACATATTATTAAATTAAATATAATTAAAAAATACCAACTAATTTCATTCTAAGGGTATTTTAGTCAATTAACATAAATTTAAAAAGAGGAAAATTACATATTTTAAGGAAAATAGATTCTATTAATTTTAAAAATCTGATTGTATGGATGATAATTCTCCTAATTCGAAAATTCTGACGGAATATGTTTATCAATATATTGAAAAATAACAAATATGATTGAACCATACATGTAACGCCCGTAGATCCGGGCTAGTCAATTTAGAGACGATAAGCATCAAAAATGACTTTTTAATGGAAGATTATTTAGAAGGATTAATCTTAACTAAGTTGTAGTATATGTTACAAGGATTTCGTACATATAAAGAACGCCGAAATCCGAGTTATAACGAAGAAGTTATGACTTGTCGAAGTTTCGCGACAGAACCGGCACGACACAGCGCGACGTAAATAGTGAATTTACGTTAGAGCGATGTTTGGCCTTAGCAATCTAAATGAAAGTCATAGAATACGTTAAACCGAGAGCGTGCATAAAAAGAACGCCCAAATCTGACTTCGTATGAGGAAGTTATGATTTTTCGAAGTTTCGGCTTAGCAATGTACAGCCCAAAGTTCGAATATGAGATCGAGCGATATTTAGCCGAAACAATCTAAACGAGAATTGAAGATCTCGTCGATAGTAGTCCAACGACGGAAAGACAGACGAAAATGGACGTCAGACGAAGGAGTTATGGGTTTATAACGGAGTTTTCCTGTCCCGGCCTACTAAAAATAATATAAAAATAATATAATAAAAATAAAGTCAAAATTAGCCGATAAAGTCTAAATGAAAGTTGTAGATCTTGTTTTTACCTACGCGTCGATATAAAGAACGTCGAAAACGGAGTTCGTATGCGAAAGTTATGGATTTCTGAAGTTCGGGGCGCGAAACCCCAAAACTGTCAGAGACCACGACGTGAAATCAGTGGTCACGACGTGGCATGTCTTCTGACGCCTCCTGGAGTCTGCCAGATCCAACTTGCGATGACGCATGCAGTGACGATCAAGCCCACGACGTGAAAGTACTGTTCACGACGTGGAAAATGAGAAATCATCCCTATAAATAGAATTCAAGGGGCAGCCGAGTTTGGTTGCTCAATCTCTTCTCTCCCACTCCCGATACCCTCTCTAAGCCCTATTTTAACCCCCTCGAAGCCCCGACAGCATCCCGAGACCTGAAGTGAGTCCCGAAGCCCAAAGATCCCGAGAAGAAAAGAGTTTCCGCGCTGAAGCCCTGCCCGCGAGAAGCCCGGTGTGTGAAGATATCCCGGTTTCATCGGAGAATTTCTACTCGAAGAGCCGTAGTGCTGTCCGAGAATCGTCTAATCAAGTGAGTGTGTAGTTACTTTCTTCTAACACATAAATATGAAGTATTTTCTATGAAATACGTGCTATGTGTTTATATATTGTTCTTTATTTGAGATGAGTGTGGAATGGATGTTTTATATAGTTTTTTTAAATGAGTTAAACTGTATATGTATTTTATATCTACAAATATGTTGGGTAGAACATGGGTAGATGGAATAGTTGGTGTGTGATGAGAGATGGTATGAGTAAACCCTGGTGACTATGAGACGTAGTGCCTATTAGATAAACCCTGGCGACGATGTGACTTCGTGCCTATTAGATAAACCTTGGCAGCTATGGACTTAGTGCCTGTTGTATAAACCTTGGCGACGATGTGACTTCGTGCCTATTGCATAAACTTTGGTGACTATGGAGTTAGCGCCTACTGTTAAGTAAACCTTGGTGACTATGGAGTTAGCGCCTATTGCATAAACCTTGGTGACTATGGAGTTAGTGTCTACTCTTAAGTAAACCTTGGTGACTATGGAGTTAGCGCCTATTGTATAAACCTTGGTGACTATGGAGTTAGCGCCTATTGTATAAACCTTGGTGACTATGGAGTTAGCGCCTACCGTTAAGTAAACCTTGGTGACTATGGAGTTAGCGCCTATTGTATAAACCTTGGTGACTATGGAGTTAGCGCCTACTGTTAAGTGAACCTTGGTGACTATGGAGTTAGCGCCTGATAGCTATGGATTTAGTACCTGAGAGATAAATGTTGGTAACTATGGACTTAGTACCTGATAGATAAACTTTGGCAGCAATGGACTTCGTGCAAATTCCTTAGATAAATCCTTAGGAATGAATGGATGAAGGATAGTTGATTCTTAGGGTAAACCCTTAAGAAATAAAGGAGATATGGGGATGGGTGTTTGGGTTGATTGTTTGATGATTGAATATAACAAATGTATTATTGTGGGTTGAAAACCCTATATGCTCACCAGGCTCCCAAGTCTGACCCACTCAGTTTTCTTTGTATCACAGGTATCGCTGTGAAGACCCATTTCACTGAGAGATTATAAGAGATGTAAATCACTAGTGTAAATGAATGTATGATATGTTTATGCTTATGTGTCTGTATCGGAACATGACATCCCGAAGTTTTATTATTAAATAAAAATACATTCTCTTTGAGAAATGTTTTGATAAGTTATTATCATATCTTGTTTTGGTAACAAATTCCGCAACCGTTTTCTTTAAACGATTACTCTAATTTATAAAACAAAGCATAAACAAATCGGTATTTTCTGGCCGTGAAATTGGGGATGTCACAATACAAGAATTACACATTCTGACATAATATATATTTTGATTTAATGAACTTCTTGAAAAATAACAAAATTTTGGATACAAGTTCAAAAAAATTTCATTACATTCTTAGAAAAGAAAAAAAAAATTATAAACTATTCTATACGAATGTTACACTTATTAATAACACAAAAACACAATATATGAATTATTCTACCAGAATATACTATTACATATATTTTTTTTCATTATATTGTATATTATTCTGGTAGAATAATCCATTCTTTTTGGAAGATTGGTGGTCATTGTTCATCTTCATCCCATACAATGTTCATCTTCAAGATTCTATTCTCACATAATCAGAATTCAAGATTTCATTCCAGTAGAATGTTGTAAGTTTCATATGTACCATGTTTTGCTTTGATATCTCTCGTTTCGTACCTACAAAAAATAATGGTATTCAACACTTGATCATTATTAACCAACAATATAAGATAAAATTCAAGCATAAAATTCAAGCAAACCAAAATAAAGTCACGCAAAAACCCTTAAAGAGAAATGGATTCGTGATTCCATTCCAACATAATTAGAATTCATGATTCCATTCCAACATAATTTGATTCGCGATTTCATACAATTCGTGAACAAATGCCAACATAAGTAGAGGAACTGTTTGTCTTTCTGTTTGGATGGAAATAAAGGAATTGTTTCATTCAAGCATTTCAGCGAACAGTTGGTGGGCAGAATCTAAATATACATAAGCATGTATCTCAAATAATAGGTACACGTACACAGAGTTAAAACAAATTACAGCAAGATGCTTGTAACACGAAGTGGTTTTGAAAGATTTTTTTGATGTTTGATGACTATCTAAACATCAGGGTTAGTTGGGTTTATCGAGACATTTTTTTACCTGTCGTTGATCGGGACTGCCAAAACAAGGGGGAAACACCGGGATTGTCGAGCAAACACCACCGAGACCCCCATTTGATTCCTTATTCTAACCGGGAACTTTTCTGACTTCTTCATCTAACCCTCCCTGCTTCGCACTTCAAAGCCACAGAGGACGAAAGCAGCCCCGCTGCTTCGGCCTACGTCCTTCTTCGATCTAGACGACCATCAGAGCACGTCATTCGGGTGCGATGGGTCTGCAATCGTCGGTCTATAGTTGCGATCAACAGTGGCTACATGGTTGGAGAACTGGAATACCTACTTTAATGGATCAAGGGTACTCTCACCCACATATGCAACTGCTGCAAAATGTATTACTGCATCAAATGCATTTTCAGAAAAGATTTTGTTTACAGCTTTTGCATCTCCCAAATCAGCATAAATGAATTGGAGTCTCCCAGGTTGTGGGAACAGGTCTTGAAGAACTTTCACAGCTCCTATGTTTCCACGAGAGAGGTTGTCCTATCACAAATTTACATTACTTATAGTTGGATTATATGTTCTAAATTTAATTTAAAAAAAAAGAGAGATAATTATAACATATACCACTATGGTTACACGATAAGAGTCTTTTAGCAGGCGTAATGTAGCATGGGAGCCAATATAGCCAGCACCTCCAGTTACTAAGACATGAGTAATTCTTGTTTCATGCCTAGAGAACTTCAAAACAAAATGAAAAATAAGCAGAAATGGACAAAAAATAAATAAATAATTTATAAACAAATGAATGAAAAGGGTCTGTTTACTTACTCGGCTAGGGCTCCTGAAAGATGGGGATTGTTTGAGCATGAAGATGCATAATGCTATAAGGAATGAAGCAAAAATAATCTTTCTTACAAATCCTTTCTTCTTGTTTGGCTCTGTATGATCCATACCTGCAACCACAGAAACCGAAAACAACTTCAAATTCTGTAAACTTTGATGTAAAAGTTTTATCAACCATCAAGTTGTGAGATTACCTCCTAAAGCATAAGACCTGTTAGGCCTTGGTTGAGTTCTTGGCTTGTTAAAGTTTTGCATTTGTAGAAGAAGAATCCCTCTGTGAAATTAACTATTGTTGATTAAACTATAAGACACACCTTGCTTTGATCAGTAGTAGAATTATATTGTTAAAGTTCCATGGAAGTAAGAGACAGAACAAGGAAACAGAAACAAGAGCCTTGGTAATGATTTTATCATCAGTAAGATTTCAATTCAACTGAAAAAATATTACTCGAGCTTAAGAATTTGAAATACATAGCAAAAGCAGTGTATAAATCGATATCCGAGAACGAGGATCAAATTCACTAAGCTCGATCTTCAATCAAATTCAACAAAAGGTCAGCATGACCAACATGAGATCATCATACTGTACAAAAATACAATCGAATGCCAAGATCTAAGGATTAACCCGAGAGAAAATCAAAATACAAACATGCAAAATATATAATTAACCTCAACGGAAGAAACGAAAGAGAAAGAAATTGAGTGCAACAAAAATATTTCGTCAACGATTAGACAAAAGGGTTACCTGACAAAAGCAGCATTCCAAAAACCTGCGAATGCAAAAGAAGGATCAGAGAATATCTATGACGAGAGAGCAAAAGGGTACAATGGTGGAAAGCACTTCTTTTACATTGGTAAGGAAATTATGATTCTATATAACAGAAAAGGGTAATGGTAAATAAAGTAAACAGTCCGAGATGCTTCATGGAGAGAAGAACAAAACGTAATAAGGAAAAAGTGTAAAGAGAGAAAATCAAAATACAAAAATACGAGGGGATCGGCACTCTGATGCTCAATTTAGGGTTTTCAGAAATTGGTTTTTATATAAAGAGGGGAACGAGATTTAATAAAAGTCAATACCATGATTATAGGGATTATTTTTTAAAGTTATTGAACAAATTACTAAATTACCCTTATTTATTTATTTAATTATTTAATTTTTTATTTAATTTTGATTGGCCCACATTTATGTATACAATAACAAAATAATTAGTTTAAACAAATAAAGCTAGCTAGCTCTATGTGCAATATATATTCATTATATTGAATCTAAATAAACATCGTTTTTATGTTCGAATTGGAACCCTTTCGCAGCAGCAGCCGCAGCACCTGAGATTGAACCTGCAGCTTCGATGGCGGACCCACGTGTGTATGCGATCTCACCTATAGTGCACCCAGGGACCATCTTGGAACAAAAAAACAAACAAATATTTAGCATTTTTAACGTGATACGCATTATTTTTTTTTAAATATATATATAGATATACACTATTATTAATTCTTTATAATATTAATTTTTTTTGAAGAAACACACATATGTACCGTCTTGTAGCTAAAAATCCACGGTCACTGTGTGTTTGGCTCCGGTACGTTTGGTTCTTGTCGAAATAGACCGGCTCACGTTTTCTTTTACAAATCGAGTTAAAACCCGACAAGTAAACAAATGATATTTTATTATATTACAATTATAATAATAATAATAATAATAATAATAATACGGTAAAAATAAATATTAAAAATAAGTTGATAATTACATTTAATTATAAATATTAATTCAGTTTAATTGAATTTAATTGTGGAAGTAGCCGGAGAACGGCTAGACATGGCTGCAACAGCAGCCCCACCATCATCCTCACCACCACCACCACCACCACCACCACCACCGCTGCCACCTCCATCAACAGCCACCGACACTTTCATTGCTGCCGCCGTGGCCGTGCCACCGCCAGGCCGTTTTCTTTTCTTCTCGTAAGGAATACCTCGAGCCTTGGCTTGACTTTCTCTCACTTCCCTCAAGTACATCCTCACAGCTCTCGCACCAAACGGGTTCGACTCCGGACGCCCGCCGTTCTCCTCGTAGGCAGCTCGGAGCCGGCCGATTAGCGCGTCTAGACTCCCCCAAGCTTGCTTGAGCTGACAGGCACATGGCGCCGGCGGGTTTGGCTGGCCGAAGTACGGACAATCAGTCACGTGCACCTTCGTTTTACCGAACTGATCAAGGTACTTAAGAAACTCGATCACGTGAGCTCCGCTGCACCTCGCCAGCGTTAACGGCGGCTTGTGGTTGCTCAGGTACTGTAAGAACGTGTTCCAGTCGCGTCGTTTCTGAGACTCGTATCTGCTCGGTGTTGTCGCTGGTGTATGGACCGTTGACCTTACAGCGGAGGAGTCATCCGCAGGACCACCAGTCGGCGATGGTCCCGGGTCATTTGACCCTGATCCGGATGCTAAATCCATGTGGGATTGCGATTTTTTTAGTGTAATTGCCAATTGGACAATGGGGCTTTGTCTTTGAGAAAGAGAAGATTTTGTCTGTAATTCTTTTAGTGATTGTTGATATTCGTTTTGATTGGTTTTGTGGAGAGGGATGGTGATGATGGGACGGAAATAGAAAAGTAATATGAATGTGTACGAATGGATGATTTTTCTTGGAGAAAAAAGAGACTAGAGTCTAGGATGACTATTCAATTTTGTCATATAACACACAATTACTTTATTTAATTATTAAAAATAATTAAAAGAAACTCCAAAGCTTCTTAAAAATAAAAACGTCCTATAAATATAATTTTTTCCATTGTCCAGAAAATTGGCATGCATGCTTCAAATGGTTCTATCCATTACAAAACATTTTTCTTGAAGCTTTTTGAAAAAAATTCTTGGTTCATAAAAAGTATTATGAATATATTTATTGAAGCTGATGAAAATGGTTTTTTGTGAAAATGAAGTCTTTTTTTTTGTGAAAAAAAATAAAAGGGTTGGCTAAAAAGACATCTCATTTTTTCATATAGACACCCTATTTGATTTTTAAGATATTTTTTTTTGTTGAATTTGAATTGTTTTTCGAAAAAATAAATTATAAATAGTTTATTATATGTTAAGTTTTAATAAAATGTTCCTGTTGAAAGGATGTCAATTTATAAACACATTTAATCTCGCTTAGTTGTGGGTCAGTTTTGCTGGGGCCACTAAATGTCTTGGCTGGGTATGGATTATTGGATTATGGAATTTGGAATTACGAGACAAAATTATGTAGAGATGCTTACGTCAGTCACGTGGTTATGATGGTATTACATGATGTTCTCTATTGGTGGTCGGGTCGGATCATTTTCCTAAATAATAAAGTAATAAACTAAAACAATATAAGTAAAGTATGATTATATGTAGTTAGAATCAGATAATTAACATGATCATAATATTTTAGAGGCATCGTGTGAAAATCAAAATAATGTCCTATAAAAATTTTCTTGTAAAATATTATTAAATAAATTTGTTACCATTAAATTTAGAATTTAAAGTTACTAACAAGCATCTCCTAAATTCACTACCACAATATTATGTCTCTACTCATTAACTGTTCCAAATTCTAGAATCATAGATGTTCACTTGAATATCTTCTTTGTTATCACAATTACCTTTCAACTTGACTATGTCTTCATCTAACAAGACATATTTTATGGCATTTGCAGTTTAACTTCTTCTCTAGGTTCTTCACAATATCATGAACTTCTTCTCTAGGTTTTTTCGTAGCTTCACTAACTTTCATCCATCTTTTTGGCACACGCAATTCAGCTTATTCTCCATGTTCTTCGATAATCGATTCTTCATTACAAGGGTATTCCGACATTTGTTTGATGACAAATCGATTGATAGATCCTCTTTGACTATGAATGAATTATTGTTTTGTGTAACATTCATAATTCATGTACATTACATTTCAAACCCTTATGTGTGAGAATTGTTTGCAAATTGGCCCATAGTGGCATTTCTGTAAATTTTGGGCGAAGCACGCGTACGCTGGGCATACATGACAGAACCCTAAATCCTAATTTTTAGGGTTTGGATCCTATTTAAACAACCTTAACTCTCAATACTTCTTTTTTTCATCAGCCTCTAAGCCCCATTTCGACCCCTTTGCAAACCCTAATCCTTTTGAGAACATCTTGAGCCATTTGTATGTGTGTGTGTTAGTGATCTTGAAGGAGGAAGAAAGAAGAGGAGACCATCTTAGAAGAGTGGAACACTTTGGATCTAGAATCACATTATCATTTGACACCATTTGAAGGTAAAAAGCTCTGAACTTGATGAAGTATTGATTAGATCTTGTTTACCCATGGATTTGTGTTCTTTTGGTCCCATGAGCTTGGTATTATGAGTATGGGTCACTCTAATTCATATCAGTTGTCCTTTTAGATGTTTTGGTGTGTTTAGAAGCATAAAAATGTAATCTTGGTCATTAGTTTCCTTCCATGCATGAACTAGGATGTCTTAATGAGTCAAGAAGTTAGGGTTTTTGGTATTGAGCACTTAATAGCCATGCAAGACCATAAAGTTGGAAACTTTATGGTTAAGGACAACATTTGAGGATTAGATATGGAATTTGAAGGAAAGAGCTTAAAGGATTAAGCTCTTAATAGAAGGGTGAAGAAGTCGTCGCGTATGTTGGGCGTACCAAATGGCACACTGCGCGTATGCAGTCAACATCTCGTTTTGATGGTCAAGCTCGAGTACGCCCTGCATATAGGCTGAGTACGCCCAACGTACTCATTTGAGTTGACTCGGTTGACGTTTTTGACTTTGACCAGGGTTTGACCAAGTTTGACCTAAGGGTATTTTGGTATTTTGATTATAAGTTAAGTTTGATCATGTTCCAATGAATATGTGACCGGTAGAGCTGAGTCGGAGCGGTGTCCTGTTCAACGATTTTTTCAGACTGAGAGGTGAGTTTTCCTCACTGTTCTTACGGGTCGAAGGCACCAATGTTGGCCCATTTGATTATGTATCCTGGTATAGAGGATTTTGCTATGTTATAGTGACTTGTTAGATCTGTGTCCTGGTATATAGGATGTTGTTATGCGGTAGTGTTCTGTAGATCTGCATTTTTGTCTATTAACTGATTATATGTTATTTGTTATGTATATGTCGTCATGTTATGGTTTGGGTTGAGGCTTTACTGCTATGTGCGTGAGACAACAGACTGGGGGTAATCCATCCTGATGGTTGTGGACCCGAGGGTATTCCAGTCTGATGACTGAGTGGACCCGTTGCATATTGGCATTCCAATTCGATGACTGATTGGGTTGGGGTAATCCATCCCGATGGTTGTGGACCCGAGGGTATTCCAGTCTGATGACTGATTGGACCCAGCATGCAATGTTTGTATATGTTATGTTGTGTGGTGGTACTTTACGTGAACTTACTAAGCTTTGGCTTACAGTTTCAGTTTATTGTTTCAGGTACTCCAGATGACCGTGACAAGGCGAAGGCGTGGTCGTGCACATCCGTCGGATTTTATGTTATTTGGATTTTGGGATATTCTGATTATTGATTATCATTTTTGAATCAATGGTTTTGTAAACAATTATTATCTTGGGGTTGTTTTGGAAAAATGAAAAATTTTACTCTGATTTTAGGATGTTTCAAGTTGGTATCAGAGTCCTGGTTTGAGAGAATTGGATGAACACTCATGTGAAGCCAGACTCAAGGAACTGCAAAAGGTTTTCGAAATGGTTTTCAAAAATTGTTTTCAAAAGTAACCAAGAAAGGATGTGGTGTGTACGATCAGCCTGAGCAAGAAAGTATACCCCAAAAATACTACATTGTTATTTGTTATGATATGATAGCACTGCATGCTAGTGATAGGCTAGGGATCTTTAGTAATTGAATGATATAATTGAATGATGTATGATGTCTGATAGCCTAGGACGACTTTTTGCATGAAATTGACATCATTATTGTAGTTGCTTAGTGTATGCATCATAGTTGTACATAAATAAGATTTTATAGCCTAATAATGTTTAGTTTAGCCTTATTTCCAATTTCTTGTTTGGTTGTGGGCTTAGGGTAGAATCAAGTATTTGAATGTCTATAGGATCCAGTGTTATGTATGATTAGCATGCACGAGTGGTTGTAGGGTTGGTGGAAGTTTCATAGATAAGATTATATGTGAGCAGTCGGCCAGATAAGGAATGTTTAGCCACTTTTGATAGAGTGAGAATAGGATGTATGCATATCCTAGTTGGTGTACTTGTTTTGGGCTGTTATGATGATCCTTTGAGACAAATACGGGTATGTGTAGAAGGTATTATGGGCCCCTACGCATAGAAAGGAAGTCAAAAACCTCGAGGGTTTCGTCTGTCTGGAATAGTTATGATGGTATGAATTGTGGCATTTCTGATATATATTATGGTTTATTTTCAGTATGGTATTCACGAGGGGATCGGGTTTTGGATCTGGAGCAAGTGGCCAGGATAGGATAGGGTTGACTCATGATCAGATATGAGAGATGATTGCCGCTGAGGTGGCTACTACTATCCGGGGATCTATTGTGACATCCCCAATTTCACGGCCAGAAAATACCGATTTGTTTATGCTTTGTTTTATAAATCAGAGTAATCGTTTAAAGAAAACGGTTGCGGAATTTGTTCCCAAAACAAAATATGACAATAACTTATCAAAACATTTCTCAAAGAGAATGTATTTTTATTTAATAATAAAACCTCGGGATGTCATGTTCCGATACAGACACATAAGCATAAACATATCATACATTCATTTACACTAGTGATTTACATCTCTTATAATCTCTCAGTGAAATGGGTCTTCGCATCCATACATGTGATACAAAGAAAACTGAGTGGGTCAGGCTTGGGAGCCTGGTGAGCATATAGGGTTTTCAACCCACAATAATATATTTATTATATTTAATCATCAAACAATCAACCCAATTTCCCATCCCCATTATTTCCACTTATCTTAAGGATCTACCCTAAGAATCATCTATCCTTCATTCTTAAGGATTGACCTGAGGTATAGGCACGAAGTCACATCGTCGCCAGGGTTTACTCAATAGGCGCTAACTCCATAGTCACCAAGGTTTATACAATAGGCGCTAACTCCATAGTCACCAAGGTTTATACAATAGGCGCTAACTCCATAGTCACCAAGGATAATACAATAGGCGCTAACTCCATAGTCACCAAGGTTTATACAATAGGCGCTAACTCCATAGTCACCAACTATCCCATCTACCCATGTTCTACCCAACATTTTCGTAGATATAAATACTTACACAGTTTAACTCATTTAACACCTGTATAAAACATCAATTCCACCCCCATCTCAAATAGACAAACAATATATAACACATAGCACGTATTTCATGGCAAATACTTCATATATATGTGTTAGAAGAAAGTAACTACACACTCACACAAAACATATACTTAATACATTCAAAC